AATGAGGTGATGACTGTTGTAATCTTTACATTTTGGAGCAAAGCCCAAAAGTACAACCAAAGGTCCTCTTCCTGTGTTACTGGAGGCAGGATTCTAACCTGATTACATAGATGGGGCACCTGGTCTCACATAAATGAACAGGCAGGAAAACAGAGAAAGGATGTGGCACAACGCTTATGAAAAAGTCTCAGAATTTTAATTTTCTTCTGAGGAAGAAATTGTGAAAGTGTGAAAGTGAAGCAGTGTGACTGGTCATGTCTCAGGTGAAGTTGTGTTCTGGAAAGTATCTCCAGTCCTGGGCTGGATCCAGTAGGTGCACTCAGGCCCCCAAACCTGAAACAGGGACTCTTATTCCTTAAACACAAGATATTCCAATAAGAAAGCTGTTCTCAGGTGAGCTGCAGGGCAGGGAGCAGGAGATGGAGGTGTCCTTTGCTTCCCAGAATTGCTAAAGCTTGAAGACCAAGGCCACCTCTGAAGGGCAGAGATCCACCTATGAGTACATCACATCAACTCTGCCTTCAGGAATCTTTGAGTGTATGAGAGTATAAGAAACGTGATTTATTCCTTTCTGCTAATGCAGTGTGCATCAGAGAAAATAAATTGAAAATTTTATAAATATTTTTCCATATTGGGGAAAGAACATGTATAAGTCATGGCAATACAAGTGCTCACTTCAGAGCCTGCAGAAGGAGCAAGTGCACATTGAGAGAAGGAAGCACCCTGCCCCAGGAAGCAGGTGCCCTAACATCATCCCCTGAGAACTGCCCTCCAGATGCCACGTGTCAGTGGAACCTGGGCCCGCGCCTGGGATCTTGTGCATAGTGTGGAGAGCAGAGCACAGCCCCATTCCCCCTCACTATGTAACCAAGGATGTGACTTCTTCCTCTGAGCTTCATTCTAATAAAGTATTAATATAAAATAGCAGCAGTAACTTTATCTCTAACCTTTCAGTTAGGACCCAGTGTTGTTCAGCATTGTTATCACGATTGTTGTCCAAACCCTTAAATATTATGAAAATACCTGTGTGACCCCTCATCTCAGACCTCAGGTGACCACATTGCAGAGAAGACACCTGCTTTGTTTCTGTCATGAACATCGTATTAGAACGGGAAAGTATGTGCACCTTGCTATAGAATTTATCTTAATTATGTTAGAATGGATGAAATAAGAATTAGTAGTTGACACTTAGAAATTCAGCTGAGGGGAGATCTAAGCAAACTCTCGATGGCGTGTCTTCGTTTCTCCTTGCTTATTACAGATCATGTGAGAACAGAGGCAAATTAAAGAGGAAACGATTGACCAATGGGGAATCAGGTATTTTATAAATAAAGGAGTTTTTCACATCTTCTGGAAACCACATCAAATTAAATAAATTAAGAACTATAAGACATTTTTCTGCATTCTAGATACATGACTAATACAGACTTAGATTTAATGCAAAAAGAGGTAACACAGAAAATGGAAATTCTGCAGCAGAGCGTTTTGCCAAATAGGCAGCTTGAAATTAGTTTGTGATTTTAGCTAAATATTCAAAGAATAAACCCCAGATCCAAGTAAGAAATTATAAAATTTCAACGTTTAATGATTGGTTGAGAGAAGCTTGAACTATTATTTTGATGAATTATAATTCAAAAATAAAACTGTGTCCAGTGGTCCAACTTTTCAAGGGGCTGCCTGAGTAACTAATTTCCACCTCCCCTACCTGTGAGTCCTGGCACAGTCTATCATCCTCTAAAACCTGGGGCCACTAAGAACAGTCAGAAGTCTAAATACTATGAAGGTTTCAGAGACCCAAAATTACTGTCTCTGGGCTGATTGGTGAGGGTGATCTCTATGAGCCTCGTCTTGAAAGAGTGTATGATGGCGTTTGTTGTAACGAACAGAAAGCAACAAAGACAGTCAAGGAAAATGAAGGAGGAGGGGAACATGGTCCAAACAGAAGAACAACATAAATATCCAGAAACTAACATCAGTGAAAAGGAAGCATATGGATTACCTGGCAGAAAATTTAAAGTAAATGTTAGAAACACATTCAATGAGCTAGTGGCAGCATGCAAGAAGAGTGTGAGGATTTTAATAGAGATAAAACATTTAGAAGATGACTAAACAAAAATATCGATGCTGAAGAATACAATAAGTCAGCCAAAAATTTTAATAGAAGATTTTAGACCAGACTAGATCAAGTAATAGAAAGAACAGTAAACTCAAAGAAAGGTCATTTGAAATAATAGAGACAGAGAAGAAAAATTTAAAGGAAAGAAATAAAAAAGAGTTAAAGACTTATGAGTCAGGAAGCACACTGAAAACTAAATTATGCATTGAGGAGTTATGCAAAGATAAGACAAAAAGGGTAGTGAAGGAACAGGATGTGTGTGTGTGTGTGTGTGTGTGTGTGTGTGTGAGAGAGAGAGAGAGAGAGAGAGAGGTGGAAAGAATATTCAAAGAAGTAATAGCATAGAAACTTTCTAAATCTGGAAAAGCCAATATTCATCTACATCCAAGAAGCTCTGGAAGTTTTAAATAAGGTAAACCAAATGAGAAAAATCAGAGATGTTTGAAACCACATTGTTAAAAGGAAATGTTTTTGAAAACAGAAGAAAAAAGAGCAGATTTAGCAGATTTCTCAGCAGTAGGTTTTCAGTTTAGAATGGAGAGGAATTATATTCCACGATGTATGGTTTAGTGAAAGAGATTACTTCTGAGAAATGTGTTTCTAGTCAATGTCATCATTGTGCAACCATCATAGGGTGAACTTACACAAACCTACAGGGAATACCCTACCACGCACAGGCTTTGTGGAATATCACAGTGTTTCCAGACAACTAACCTAGTCTCAACTAGGTCTGCAGAATAATGACATAGTTGCATCAGCTCCATTCTGGCCTCTGCCATATGACAGTTTTGTGTGAATTTTCTTTCTGCTCTCTCAGGACATTTTTTCTCTCTCAACTTCTAACTCCATTCTCCTTTTAATTCTCAGTTCATTGAAAAGATTCATATTTAGCTAAGAACACTGAAAACTTTGGAAAAAAATTTCATCTTATGCCCAAGAAATTTAATTAACTGTCTTCACGGATGCCCATCTGTTTTTTTTTCTTGTTTTCCTGTGGGACATGGCCCTTGTTTCCACTTCAGTTCAGTCCTTATTTCCATATGCATGAGGCATCCAACCATCACACACCCAGGACCATCTTGGAGGAAGGTACCCTACCATCTGCCTCATCCGCCTTCAGGTGCACAGTGGCCATTCCTTCAGCTGTTGTATGCGCTTTAGGGCTTTCCATTTAAAAGTGTATTTCACTATCCCCCTAAAAAAGCTCCTGGACCTTAAAAAGTGATGTGGTGTTGGGGGCATTGACAGCCAAATTTCATTGAAAGTCTCTTCTGCCCTTGGTAATTGAGGAAGACTGGGAAGAAGGGAACAAAACTCAGACCTCATGTAGCTCCTCATTTAGCAACAGATTCAGTGCAAATTTAGAAACTTGAAGACATTGAGTAATGTTGGTGTGGTTTTCTGTGGCATACTAAGGAGACAGCAGAAGATGGTCAGTGGTCAGTCTCCATCCAGCTGGTACCCATTGTCCATTAGTTAGGTCCTAATAAAATATAAAAGACGACTTTTGTGACAAAGCCCCAAGGACTTCATTAAAACACTGCCCAGAAATTGATCAACAGGGACATGACAAGTGTTTATATCACAGCTACTATTTTTTGCCTACTTTATGTAGAAATCTGAGAGATGTGCCCAGCCTCAGTGGGCTGATTCTCCATCCAGGGGACAGCGCTAACAGAGTTATGAGTTCTGTGGTATTTGTCTGGGTCTTCCTAAGAAGACAACACGGAGTGGGTGGCTTAAACAACAAATATTGATTTTCTTACAGTTCTGAAGTCTGAATGTTGAAGATCAAGGTCCTGGCAGGGTTGGTTCTTGGTGCGACTTCGTCCTGGCATACACTGAGGCACCTTCTAACACACCGCGTCTCCACATGACCTCTTCTCTGCGTGCACGTGAAAAGTGAGAGTTCTCTGGTGTTTCTTCCTCTTCTTATAAAGACAGCATGTCTATTGCATTTGGTTCTCACACTTCTGACCACATTTAACCTTAATTGTATCATTAAAATTCCAATATAGATCCATTGAATTTAAGGTTTCAGCAAATGAATTTCAAAGAGGGCACAATTCAATTGATGACACAAATAAAGACATGGTGAGAAGCATTAGAATATATATATTTTTAATCACTAAGGAATAATGGGCCATGCAGGAATTTGTAGGAAAGTTCCTAGTAATCGGTGAAAC